CCATGCAGCCCAGGGAAGCAGAGGGAGGTGTGGGCAGGACCAGGCCCAGAGGGCTCCTGGGGAACTTGAGAAGGAACTGGGTCCATCTGGATGCAAGGGATCAGAAAGCAGTGGTGGCCCTTGGCAAGAGGTCAGCCCCAAGATCTAGGAAAGAGGCTGGCAGGCTGTGCAGCCCAGGGAAGCAGAGGGAGGTGAGGGCTCCCAGGAGAGAGGCTGGTGTGTTGTGCCAGTGAGAAGTTTTATGTGTGCCTCTTTGTGTGTATATTTACATACACTGTTGGCGTTTGAGTGAGTGTGTGTGTGTGTGTGTGTGTGTGTGTGTGTGTGTGTTTGTGTATGTGTATGATAGAAACACTGAGTGACTAAACTGTCATAGGTCTGGAGCTGCTGTCAGAGACTACTGCCCTTGTTCTAGCTCAGGCCTTTGCAGTACAGGCTGTACACTCCAGAGAAACACTGCCCTTGGGAATAACCCCGAGTCCTGGGGGGTGCTTATGGGTGAGTAAATGTTCCAGCTTCCTTGCTTTGAGTGGGATGACTCTAATGTGGATGTTTGGTGTTTTCTGTCTCACAGAGCTCCTCAGCAGGTCTGAGCCCCAATGACTAAAGTGCAAACCTCCCTCAACAATTGTCTTTAACTCCTGCCTCCCTTTCCCATTCTACTTCCCCACAGTGCTGGCAGTGTTTCCTGGCACCATCTCCTGTTCTAGTTACTTTCTATTGCTGTGATAAACACACTGACCAAAACCAACTTGGGGAGGGAAAGGCTTATTTGGCTTACAGCTTACAGTTCTTGGGAAACCAAGGCAGGAAGCCAGGGCAGGAACCTGGAGCACAGACTGTGGAGGAACGCTGCTTACTGGCATGCTCCCCTGTTCTGTGCTCAGCTTGATTTCTTATACAACAGAGCACCACCTGCTTAGGGGTGGCAGTGACCACAACAGGATTCCCCTGTCACATCACACAGCAATCAAGAAAATGACCCACAGACATGGCTGTAGGCTAGTCCAATGGAGGAAATTCCTCAATTGAGGTTCCCTCCATCCAGGTGTGTCTCATTGACAACTGAAGCTGTCCAGCACAATTGACCCCTTGTCAACTTGACACACAAACACATCACTATTAAACCACACCTTTTCCATTCCTTATCCCCAAGATCTCATACTAATATTAATATTACAACATAAAGCAGTACAATTTTTAAAGTCCCACAGTCCTTAAAAATTTAAACATTTTAAAAGTTCAAAGTCTTGGGGCTGGAGAGATCGCTCAGTGGTTAAGAACACTGACTTTTTTTGCAGAAGACCCGGGTTTGAGTCCCAGCATCCACATGGTGGCTAACAACTGTCCATAATTCCAGCTCCAGGGGCTCCGACAGCATCTTCTATCCTCTGTGGGCAGCGCACGACACAGGTGCATTTACCTACATGCAGGCACAACACTCATACACATAAAATAAAAATAATAAATAAAATATTTTTTAAAAGCTCAAAGTCTTTTTAAAAAGTCTCCTAACTGTGGGCTTCTGTAAAATTCAAAACAAGTTAAATACTGTTTATTTCAAAAGTGAAGAATTGAGCACAGTTAAGCCAAACAGAAGTCCAGCAAAGTAGCTCAAGGCTGAACATCTGGGATTCACTCATGATCTTCTGGGCTCCAAAGGGTTTGGGTAGCTCCACATCTTTGGGTCTGCCATCCACAGCACACACAGCTTATCTTTTAGGCTCAGGTGGGCTCCATTTCATACCTGCTGCTACCCTTTGTTGGTTATCCCATGGTCCTGGCATCTCTAATATGCTGTGGTCTCCATTGCAACTGAGGCTGCACTTTCACCAAGGGCCTCTTTTGCCCTCACACAATGCCAAGCTTCAGATCCTCTCCATTATCCCTTCATGCCTTCAGACCCAGTACCATACAGGAGACAATTATACATCACTAAGTCTTGTTTCCAGCTTGAGGTAGAGCCTTGGGTGCCCTCTGGATCACATTTTCTGTGTGCTGACCTGGAGGAAATACTTCCCAGAAGATTTCACCTCGATGATGCCAGTCTCTTGTTACTCACAAATGATTTTCAGCCCCTGCTAACCAGCATCAATTGTCCCAATAAAAGACAAAAGGTTTCACATCCAAAAACTAAGGACAAAAGGTTTCGCTTCCAAACACTTGTAATTCCACGAGAACAGCCCTGATAGAGTCTTTCCTTCCCCTTGAAGCTTCACAAGCCAGGCCTCCATCATCTACATCTCTTTCAGCAAAACTATTCTAAGCTCCACAGCAATAGCTTACTAAGCTCTGAGCACTCAATGGCTTTTCTAGTCCAACGTTACAAACACGTTCACAATCCCCCCCAAAACAACGTGGTCAGGTTCATTACTGCAATACCCCATGAACCTGGTACGAATTTCTGTACTAGTTACTTTCTATTGCTGTAATTAAAAAAAAAAAACACAAAACTGACCGAAACCCACCTGGGTTTTGGGGAGGAAAAGGGTTCATTTGGTATACAGCTCACAGTCCGTCATCAAGGGAAGCCAAAACAGGAAATCAGGGCAGTGCCTTGGAACACAGACCATGGAGGAATGCTGCTTACTGGCTTGTTCCCTGGGTCTGTGCTCAGCCTGCTTTCTTATACAACACAGGACCACCTGCACAGGGATGGTACTGCCTACATCACACAGCAATCAATAAAATGTCCTACAGATATGACCATAGGCCAATCCAATGGAGGAAATTCCTCACGCAGGTTCCCTCCAGCCAGGTGTCGCAAGTTGTGAACTGAAGCTATCCAGCACCTCTCCCAGAGAAACATCTGGTGGTGGAAACCTTGTCTTACAGTTACCACCAGAAGAATTTGATCTTCACTTTTTGCATCACAGTATGCTTCTGGGGAATAGAAACTAAGACATGTTGGCTGGCTCCAGCAGCCCCCACATCCACAGAATCCAACTGTTATTTCTGAAGAGGACTGTGAGACCCAGTAGGCAGCTTACTTGCTCAAGGTCACATGGCTGGTATCCTAGTTTGCCTTCCTGTTGCTGTGAACACCCTGAGCAACAGCAATGTGGGGAGGAAAGGGTTTATTTAATCTTATACTCTGCAGTATATCACTGAGGGAAGCCAAGCAGGAGGTCAAGGCAGGACCTGGATCCAGGAACTGAAGCAGAGACCATGTAGGAATGTTGTATCCTGGTTTGTATCCCATGGATTCCTCAGCTACTTTTCTTATACAGCCCAGATCTACCTGCCCACATTGGGCTGGGCCCTCCCACATCAATCAGCAATCAAGAAAACACCCCCACAGACAAGCCTATGGGCTAAATTGATAGAAGCAGTTCTTTAACATCTGTGTCAGGTTGACTAAAACTAACTATGACAGTGGCAGAGTCCAGCTTTGTCTAGAGCTCTGATGCTAAGCATCATACTCACAGCTTTAATAAAGAATGTCAATGAGAATGCAAAGGAATATTCTCAGCCAACAAGTTCCCTGGTAGGTATGCCAAAGGGACTCAAGAATACTAACTGGTGGCTCTGTCTTCATTCTGTCACAAAAGTAATTGCAGTTACAATCTTGGGGCTGGCCACAGCTGGTGCTGAAAGGAAGCACACAGACTACATGTTAGTCCAAACTTGTTGGGGTCCTCTGTTATGCAAAGTAGAAGTCTCTTCACGTCCGGATAGCTCATGAGCTCGGAAACCATGTGCTGCAGATTCCTTTCATAGCAGAGTGCCTTCCTGGCATCCTCCCTGACTCTTCTTTTAAAGTGCTCGCCACAAATACATGCCCTCTGGCACAGGAGCTACCAGGTTTTTAATCAGGCGTTGTCTGATAGCCTGATAGAAGCCCACCGCCCTATGTAAATGAGGCATCCTAAAAGTACCTATCAGCTAAGGCTTCTTCTGCTGTCTCTACACTATAAGTAGTCTTAGTTTTACCCCAATAAAGTTGGAGCTGGAGCTGAATCACTGAGATCTGACCTGAGTCACTTGTCTTGAGCTGTAACACTAAATCTTCTGTGATCCAGTCTCCCCGGGGGGCGCTATTCCTCCGTCACCGACTCGCGGACACCCTGGCTTTCACCGTCCCTCATACGCTTCCCATGTGGTCCAAGTGGCCAGTGGACCTCACATCCTGAGGAAGGTATACGGGTGAAATAGGGACGGGATCGACTGAGTAGACCTCAGTAGCAGAGGAACTTTCACTGCCCAGGAGTGCGCGCTGGGACCCTGAGAGCCCAGCGCGTGCTCGCCTATACAAACTACAATGCTATTTTGTACCAAAATACAATGTTGTCTGTTTTCTTATAAGTTAAATATATGGATTTCTACTATGTGCCAGGCATGGTGAGAAATGGGTTCCTTTTAAAAAATATAAGTAATAGTTATTCAGAACAGTACATATTTAAAGTGTTTCATGTAGGAAGAAGGACTCTGCCAGTGTTCCACTGAGTTCTTCCAGCTAGGATGTTGACCCCTGGAATCTGACCTTGGAAATCAATTGTTGGGCTGCTTCTAAAACAAATATGTCCAGGCAGACCCAGGGCTGCTTGGAGGCAGGACCTGAGCTCCAGCAGCCTGTGAAGCTGGTGGGCAGAGGCATTCTGGACTCTCCCAGTTCTGCACCAAGGCACTCTGCAGGCCTTCTTCCCATGCCAACGTGCAGAGGAGCTCTGGAGGAGCCCTGGGACAGGCCTGGCACCGCAAGTCCCAAGTTAATGACTTTTTATCTGACATATCCTGTCTTTGGAAGGGCAGGGCAGCTATAAACGTAGGACTTAGAGTCACCTTTGCTCACTCCCAGTCAAGTCCTGGACGACATGTTTTCAGTCCTGAGGATCTGTTTCTCATGCTGTGGACGTTGAGTTGATTCCATAGTTTTGCTTGCCAGCCCAACCCTCTCACCTTGGCCTCCTGCCCAGGCTGGGAGGAGGCAGCTCAGTTTGGGAGGGATTGGCTGATACAGTTGAACAAGTTTCCCATCGCTTCCTCCAGGCCATGAGCCAAGGACAAAGAGGCCCCAGAGGAGGGAGGGAAGCTTTGAGAGACACTGCTGAAAGACGGTACCAGGCTAAGGAAGGTGGACTGGAAGGTATTGTCCTGGGTTAAGGAGAACTCTGTCCATGTCTGGGCTGGTGCTAGGGAGCCAGCCAGCCAAGGCAGGGTGATCATAGTGATTCAGCTGGCCTGGATCGGGTTGATTCTAGGCAACAGCCCCTGGCAGTCTTGGAATCATTCAGGCAGTTTGAGAAACTAGTTAGACTTTTTCCATCTTTGTCTTCTACTTTCTTTGCCTTTCCCCCGTATTCCTTGATTTTTCCCCTTACCTGTTCTGATACCAGGATTCTTAGCTCCTACCCCTGTCCGCTGCCATGTGACATCCCTGTCCATTTCCTGGACCTCAGGAACTCACCCTCTGTCATCTGCCCTACAGCATGTCCTGGCTGGGATTGGGGCCCATGGTGGCCTCACCATGGCTTCTCTTATTGTTGGTTGGGGTGTCCTGGATCTTGGCCCGTGTCCTAACGAAAATCTACATTTTGTATGAAAAATATCATCATCTCTGTGGTTTCCCTCAGCCACCCAAGAGGAACTGGTTCTTGGGTCACCTGGGCATGGTGAGTAGGAAAGGTTTGGGGTGTGAGGGTGTATGGCCTTCTAGGGGTCAGTGAGTTGGGAGTAGGAAGGGCTGGGTTCTTGTGTGTTTTACCTCAAACCTTTCTCCTATCTGTGTCCTCTACCCCTAGTCTGCTTTGGATTCATTTCCAGCCTGTTTTCCCACTCTGGTACATACTGTGGGGCTCCCAGCATGGGCTACCCAGTCAGGATCCCTGGGATCCTGCAGTATTTGCTGCTCAGTCTTTCTGAGTGGTTCTGGCCCAGAGACAGTCTTCTGTTCAGTATATTTCTTTGTGTCAGTCCATCTTTGGGTTTCTATTTTATTCCAGGAGGAATTTTTGATGTCCCTTCCCGACTACATATACCCAAGGCACAGCCATGTTGGAGGAGAGTTCCAGGCTCACTGTCTTCCTAGGCTACTTGTCCCTTACAATGCTCTTCTCCTCTAAGAGAGACCAGTGATCCCTCTTATCTAACCCGAATTAGAGCTGTCCACTCACCCTTCCATAAGCCTTCCTTGACCCTACCTTTTACCCTACACTTGAACTTTGACTTAGGTCTGCTCTCCCCTTTGGGTAACTTAGTTTCAGTTACTTCTCTTGCAAATAGCAGAGCTCATGGCCTAAGAACAGGTCAATGAATCATGCACAGGATGCTCTTTCCGGTGGGCAGCTGTTGTTCATGGGTGGGAGCTGCTGCCTTCCTGGAAACTTAGAGGTCACCTCTTTTCCCTTGGAGTCTGCTGAGGTTGGATGGTCCCCAGTGTTTGGATCTTTTTGCATCGTTGAAATGGAGACCTGTGGTACATACAGACCCAAGAGTATGTGGGACAAGCCTTAGTGGCAGTCCTGAGGTGATAGTTGTCCATAGCCCCCCTCCCCCTGTTGGCTTTCCCTGGGAGTGGAATTAACACTACCTGAATAATTCATTTTCTGAAGCCGAATTGGGCATCTGTGAGGCAGATAGCATAACTTCATAACTGGCCCTACAATGAATTCTTGGGACTGAGACATGACTGAGAGGGATGGAGCAGAAGGAGGCAGGGGTCTCTTCCATCCTTCTAAATCCAGACACATGTTCACTGCAGAGGCTGTGTCAGGGCTCCAGAGCTGCACAAGAGATTTCCTAAGGCTGCTGAGGATGTGTATTAGCCCACATTCTCCAGGGAAACAGAACCGAAAGCATGTACATATATACACACACATACACACGTGTCTACATCCACAGAAGCATACATAAGCATACATATGCATAGGGACACATCATCTTGGATCAATGAACATTAGGGACATATTTTAAAAATTAATTATGAGGTGATTTTGTCATTTTACCAACACTCTAGAATATATTTACTCAAACTTTCTTGGTGTAGCCTACTGCACATATAGGTTATGAGGGAATACTTTTCATTCCCAGTACACAAAGCTGTAAATCATGGTACTGTTTAAAGGACTGCAGGCAATTGTTAGATAATGCTATCTGTGTAACTAAACATACCCAAACATAGGGTATGCTAGAGTCCTAAGTTCAGGGACCTGGACTGTGATATCTGTGGGTAGGAGAAGATGGTATTCCAGGACTGGAAGTAAGAGTGAATTCCCCTTCCTCTGCCTATTGTTCTATCAAGATCCTCAGTGAGCTGGATGTGAAGGGTGGATCATTCTGACTCAGTCTACTCATGAATATACTAATGTCTTCTGGAAACACTATCATAGACACACCCAGAAGTCGTGTGCCTGGGCAGTCCTTAGCGCAGCCTAGTTGATTCCTAACATGAACTGTTTGAGGAAGTGACTGTCTCTGTCTTTGTTTCAGGCCCCTCCCACTGAGCAGGGCATGAAGGAACTGACGAAGCTGGTGGAAACCTACCCCAGGGGCTTTATGACCTGGTTGGGCCCAATGGTTCCCATGGTCACTTTGTGCCACCCCGACATCATCCGATGTGTGCTCAATGCCTCAGGTACCCGTGGGAGCTGCTGGTGCTGTGGCTGTGGGAATCTGAGGGCCTCCAGCCCTACCCTTGTACTTCTGTGAAGCCCCTGCAGGAGCCTAGTCCCTCCTCCCCTCTTCTCACATAGTCTTCCTGCCCTTTCATGTACTCACCACTCCCATGTTGGTCTCTTCTTCCACTGCTGTCATCTCCACATCTTTCTTGAGTTTTTGGCACCATCGGGAGACCAGGAGGTCACAGACCAAGGCTCTGTCCTGGAGGAACCCAATCTTTTTGTTTCTTTCTTTTTGAGACAGGGTCTCACTATGGAGCCCCAGGAGTCCTGGAACTTGCTATGTAGAGCAGGCTGGCCTCAAACTCAGAGAGATCTGGCCTCTGCCTCTCAAGTGCTGGGATTAAAGGCATGAGCAACTACTCCCAGCCAGGAGAACCCACTCTTGAGAAGATGGATCCTGACAAGGAAACTCTTAACTGCTGGTGGCCGGGAATGGCCCAGAGAAAGATGGGCTGTGATGGCTGCATGGAGAAGAGAGATTTCTGCTAGGGAGGCAGAGGGTTCTTGGAGGAGGAGACATCAGCAGAGCAGAGGTCAGAGGTCAGAGGTCAGAACAGTGCTATTGTTTGAGGAAATACAAAGCAGCTCAAGGATAAGAACTCAGGTCAAACCAGGAGTGGTGGCACATGCCTTTAGCCCCAGCACTTGGGAGGCAGAGGCAGGCCGATTGCTGTGAGTTCAAGGCCAGCCTGGTCTACATAGTGAGTTCAGGTCAGCTGAGACTACAGGGAGACCCTGTCTCAAAAAGACAAAAAAAAAAAAAAGAAAAGAAAAATGCTGGGTGTGGTGGTGCACGCCTTTAATCCCAGCACCTGGGAGGCAGAGGCAAGTGGATCTCTGTGAGTTCAAGGCCACCCTGAACCCTGTCTCAAAAAGACCAAAAAAAAAAAAAAAAAAAAGAATTCAGGCCATTGATCCTAGGCTCAAGCTTCAGGCATGCTACTTGCTACATGGGAGACTGTGAATAAGAGACATCAAGGCTGAGGTTTCAACCTGTAAAATGGGACAGAAGAGAACCAAAGTTAATACAGTATTTGGAATTTCAAAGGGGAACATGTTTTTCTATCCCTGTAACTAAGGGACCAGGTTGTAGTATACTGAAGATGTTGGGAGGCAGCCCAGGTAGGACCCAGAATAGAGGATGAAGAAGGGCTAGATGGAATTCCTAGGGCCTGTCTAGCCTGTTAGTCCATCTTTTTGGCACCCTAGAGAAGCAAACAACAGATTCTCTTTCTTATTCTCTAATTCAGGGAAAATGGTGTCCTGGGTAACCATCCCAGTATGCAGTGTTGGGGATAGGTGCTGATGATGGTGAGGAAACTGTTAGGTAGTCACCCCTATCCTTCCCCCACCTTCACGAAACCCCTATTCTCTGTTCTAGGAGATGTGGCACTGGCTCTAGCTGGCCCACTGCTGAGGTCTCTGTGCTGTCTCCAGCTGGTCAGGTGACCTGAGACAGGCAGGTGGAGCCATGGCAGTTGTCCCTCTGCCTTGGTGCTGTGATGCAATATATCTGTGTCACAAACAATTTGAATTTAAATGGCTCATGACTTCAGAGTCTATTGTAGTAGAGCAGAGCAACTCATATCCTGGAGACCAGATTTGTAAGGGGAAGGGGAAGAAAGGAGGAAGGAGAGGAGAAGGAGAAAGGGAAAAGGAGAGAGAGAGAGAGGTTATTCTCCCAGTTCCTCCAGCTAAGCCCTACTTCCTAAGTGTCTAGATGCTTCCCCAAATGGAGCCAGCTTCTGGGGACCCACCTTTCAGTACAGGAGCTTGGGGAACATTTCATAATCAACCATAACACCTGTTGTGTGTTGTCCCTGGTAAATATAGTTCACACCTGGGATCACAGGAAGACAGTCCTCATAAGTAGTCATAGATATATGAGGTATATGGGGTTCTGTGTGGACTACCTAGAACCCAGCCCCTAAAGTGACTATTTTAAAAGTTTCTAGAACCTGTCTATAGGGCACAGTGAAATGCATGAGACAATTTCTATCTATGTAGGGTCTATCTATGGCAGGTCATATGTGTTTCAGCTATGTTAGCACATGTTAACCCATGTGTGCCCATGATACATGTCTATGTCAAGAGGTGTCAGAACATGCAGGGTGGACAGTTATGCTAGGTCTGTATAAAAGTCTACAGTGTTGTGCTGTGCTCAGCATGGCAGACATGTTCAACCATGTAGGAGCATGTGAATGCATGCTGTGTAATGTCAGACTACTGCTGTAGTCTGGTCTGACACCTGTTAATTGTCCCCTCCTCCTTGCTTCCTCTGTCCTTCACCTCAATCTTATCATGCTGGCTTGAGAAGGACACCCCTGCCTGAGAGCCCCACATTCTGCCCAAGTCTATACACTACCCTCTCCATAATTCTGATGGTCCTTGTTCATGTCAGCCGAGGTTGCTCTGAAGGACATGATCTTCTATAGCTTCCTGAAGCCCTGGCTGGGTGAGTACTTGCGGTTGATGGGGTTGGGGACACCTGTGGGGTTCAGGGGAACATACCACCCTTGTCTACTGCTATGGCTTCTCTACCAGGGGATGGGCTCTTGGTAAGTGCTGGTGACAAGTGGAGCCACCACCGTCGCATGTTGACGCCGGCCTTCCATTTCAATATCCTGAAGCCCTATGTGAAGATTTTCAATGACAGCACTAACATCATGCATGTGAGTCTCTTGAAAAAAGGGCTGCATGCAAATCCCTCACAGTACTGGCTCTGAAGAGTCACACTGGGGCTTTTTCTCTCCAAGGCTTGGATTCCCCACATTTGATTTAAGGTTAAAATCTTTGCCTCGTATCCATGTTGATACCATAGTCATGTCCCTGCACATGGCAGATGCTCAGAAGAGTTGGACACGGATGTTCTGAAAACTGAAGACAGGTGTGATGAAGATTGATGCTTCCACATACACTGGTTGGAATCAACCAGGCCTGATAATGCTGACAAGTTTTAGGTCAGAGGGCTGGTTCTTCTGGACAGAGTCCAGGTCATTTATGTTTTATGATTAGCTGAAGGTCAGGTGGGCGGTTTGGCTGATCTCAGCTTTCTCTCCTGTTTGGAGCTTGCCAACTTCACGACAATTTAGAGCAGTGTCAGCAGAGAAGAGCCTTGTCACCATGGTTCCCTCTATAAGGCATCTTGGGATTGTTTCTATGGCATACATAGAGTTCAGTGGGAATGAGAGGAGCTGAATGTGACCTGAAGTTTAGATTTAACTGAAGTAATATCCTCATCATATCCTGTGTTTTGTTTGTCAAATCATAAGTCCAACATAAAATCAACAGGGAGGAAAATGGGCTTCACTTCTTAATGGACATCCTGAAAACTCTTACACGTGCATGTGGTATAGATACAAGATAAAAATGGAGGTGAGGGTCATGTGAAGGGTTCAGGATATTTTCTTACTTGAAAGCTGATATGTTAGCTTGTTTATTTTTCATGGATTCTGCCAGAACACACCAGATTCTTGGTCAGATACAAAAGCCAGATAGTTACTCCCCACACAGCAAGCAGTGTATGCATCTTTCTAGTTTTCATCCTTTCTTCAAGGGACCCACATCCCATGAGAGCAATGCCTTTGGCTGCAGTAGGTGCACCTCATATCCTGTGTTGTATCCAGTGTTCTTTTATAGCAAGCAGAGACTAGTCTTGTATTCATCCACAGAGGATCATTACTGTGTCCTTTGAGGTGTCCTGGAAACATAAGTCTGAGAAATGGTCCAAGTTAAACACATCATGATAGTGCATTCTCAGCATGCCTAGCAAGGACTCTAAGGAACAATGGGGGATCTATCACTCTTAACACAGGGACTATTTTGAAGCTACTTTATAACACTGACAATGAGAAAACTACCATGTATTGAACTCAGACCACAGGCTGAAACGATGTCACGCCCTAGTGCTGTACTCTATGCTGTCCAACTTTATTTTCACAAGCCTGGGAGGCAGAGGCTACTTCTTCCTATTAAGGATGAACCTGAGGCTCAGAGTAGGGATCTAGTCAAGATGTCCTGTCTGGACATGAGTTAGGAATATAGGGGCCCACTCCCAGTTTATTAGACACACCAATCGGATCAACTTAAGTGTTCCTGAAGGTGGGACAGGTGAGAACCAGGAAAGAGCAATGGGATGACTGAGGGTGCACAGAACACAAGAGTCAGAGCTGGGACTTGAACTTGGGGCTCCTGGACCTCCAGCCTCGGGTCTTTATCTTCTGCAGTAGCAGTTTCCACTGTCAGTCAATCTTGGTTCTCCCTGACATCAGTTGTCTGGGGCAGAGTTCCAGGGGAGCCTGGTTTGTGGATGTCCATTCTAGTGGTTGGGGTTGGCCAGAGTTTCTGGGTGCCAAGACCCAGCTATGGCACTGTTCATTTCTTTTCCAAGGCCAAGTGGCAGCACCTGACTTCAGGGGGCAGCACCCGTCTGGACATGTTTGAGAACATCAGCCTCATGACATTGGACAGTCTGCAGAAATGCATCTTCAGTTTTGATAGCAACTGTCAAGAGTGAGTCCCTAATCTGAACCTTGGAACCTGGTCCATGAATTCAAGGCAAGAAGTGGAGGGAGGACTGGCCAGAGGATACAGAGGGGACTCCATGGAGTGGGTTAGAGCTAAGCCCTACCTCCTAAGCTTCTACTACCTCCCAACAATCCCGAAGGATGGGTCTGTTTGAATTTGTTTCTCCATTGCTGTGACAAAAATACTCTGACCAATACCAACTTGGGGAGGAAAGGGTTTATTTGGTTTACATCTCCTGGGTCACAGTTCACCAGGGAACCCAAGGTAGGAACTCAGGGCAGGAACCTGGAGGCAGGAGCTAGAGCATAGGCCATGGAGGAACGCTGCTTACTGGCTTGCTTCTCTGCCCCCTGCTCAGCCTGCTTTTTTTTTTAAAAAAAAACATTTTATTTATTATTTTTATTTTATGTGTATGAGTGTATTGCCTGTAGGTATGTGAGTGCACCTGTGTTGTGCAATGCCGCAGAGGTCAGAAGAGGGCTTTGGATTCCCCTGGAACTGGAGTTAAGGATGGTTTGAAGCCACCATGTGGGTGCTGGGAATCGAACCCAGGTCCTCTGCAAGAGCAGTCAGTGCTCTTAACTGCTGAGCCATCTCTCTAGCCCCAGCCTGCTTTCTTATACAACAAAGGACAAGCTGCCCAGGGGTGGCACCACCCACAGTGGGCTGGCCAATCCCATATCACTCAACAATCAAGAAAATACCCCACTGACATGACCACAGGCCAGTCTAATGGAGGCAATTCTCCAATTGAGGCTCCCTCAACCCAGGTGTGTCAAGTTGACAACTAAAACTATCCAGAACAGGGACCAAATCTTTAACATATGGGATTTTGGAGGATCGTTCCAACCATAGTAAAGCCAGTGATGAGCATGGTCATAGACATGCTCTGTAGACAGTGACTGTCTTTTGATAAGAAGTAGAGTTGACAGTGCATGTGGGGACATCAGGGAGGGGAACTGGTCATATACCAACTAGAAGAAAATGAGTTCTGAGCTGGCTGAACAGTGCTGGGGAGAAGATGAACTGGGGTAGGTACCTGGTTCAGAGAGGAACAAGAGGAGTCTGATAGCCACACTGTGCTACTACAGATGCCTAGGGGCATGTCTAGGCTTATGTGGTTGGGATGAAGGGAGAGAAGAAACCCAGTTGTTAAATCTCAGTTTCTCAGTCAGATGTCAGTAGTGCCTCTTAATCACCTGTTGCCACCTGTTCCTGACTAGCTTCGTGTCTATGTAGCCATTTACTTTTAGCTATACAGCATGCTGCCGAGAGGTGCCACTCAGGCTTCAGGTCCATTGAGGCCTGCCTCCCTTCATTTCTCATCATGCAGGAAGCCCAGCAAGTACATTGCCGCCATCTTGGAGCTCAGTGCACTGGTTGTCAAAAGACATGAGCAGCTGCTTCTGCATATGGACCTGCTTTACCGCCTCACCCCAGATGGGACACGCTTCCATGAGGCCTGCCGCCTGGTGCACGACTTCACAGATGCTGTCATCCAGGAGCGTCGCCACACCCTCCCTGATCAGGGTGTAGATGACTTCCTTAAGGCCAAGGCTAAGGCCAAGACTTTGGACTTCATTGATGTGCTGTTGCTGACCAAGGTGGGCTTATCACAAGGTGGAATGGAGCTTTTAAAATTAATTAATATAAGCTGGGCGTGGTGGCACTACCTTTAATCCCAGCACTTGGGAGGCAGAGGCAGGTGGATCTCTGTGAGTTCAAGGCCAGCCTGGTCTACATAGTGAGTTCCAGGACAGCTGGGGCTACAGGGACACCCTGTCTCACAAAAAAAATTAATATATAGAGCTGAGTTTTGTTTTTTGTTTCTTCAAACAGGGTCTCATTATGCGGCCCAGGCTGGCCTCATTCTCATGTTCCTCCTGCCTCAGCTTCCCGAGTCTTAAGATAACAGGCATGTGCCAGGCCTTTTGGCTTTAGGTAGTTTTTTTTTTTAGATGAATCTCACTGTGCTACCAGGCTCATCTCCAGCTGTTGGGTGAATGGATCTTGTCGCCTCAACTTCTCAAGTTCTGGCACCATTTGCTTGCATCACCCTTTGTGACATTAAGAATTAGAATGGATACTGGTATCAAATGTGAGATGATGTGAGATGAAACAACAGCTCAGATTATGTAACTTTTTATATTGTCAGTAATGTCTTGGGCTTGATGTAGAGGATACCTATAAAGCTGTGGTAGGTAGTTGAGGAAAGGAGAGATACGCCAGAGATAAACACATTGCAGAGAAAACACCAGAGTGCAGTTAGCAGGGTCCTGTTGGATCTGAAACTAAGGGGTCTGAGGTTTGACTCTATAACTTGTTCAGTTAGTGAATCATAGTTCTGTGTCTGTATCTATATCTGTGCTGAGGGCTGCACCTACCCTCATGATAGAGCAGCTCATTCAGCCACAGCAAGATTGTAGCAGTGGCTCCCTATTCCCATCTCCTCCTTTCCCAAGTGACGAACTGATTTTATCATTTTATTTGTATGTGAAGCAGGGTTTTCACTACAGGAGAAAGACCCACACATTATGAGTCTTAGAACTTATATAGGACAGCTGAAACATCTGTGTCTTCTTTATTTCAGGGGAGGGTGGGGGGAAGAGGAGAACAGAGGAGAGAGAGAGAGAATGGAGGGGTGAATACCTGATAGGAAAGGTGGTGACAAAAGAAAATGTAAAAGTAATTTAATTATTTTTTAAAAGACAGAGTCTCCCTGTAGCCCCAGCTGGCCTGGACCTTGTAGGACAGGCTGGACTCAGTCTCACAGAGATCTGCCTGTCTCTGCCTCTTGAGTGCTGGTGTTAAAGGCATGTACCACCATGACCAGCTAAATTAAATTTTAACATACAGAATAATGCATTTCATTGTGACATTTTCATACACATAAATCATTGCATGTTTCTCTCTAGATTCCTCAAATAAAGAGAGGACTTTATTTTAGAATATAAATAAGTTTTATCTAGTGCTAAGGCAAATTCTATAGGTTCACAATGATAGTTGATAGTTTCCAGAGGAGGTAAGACAAATTCTCGAGATTTAGTACCTAGGAGTGAGACAGGAGAATAGGGTAGGGATTGGAGTATAAGAGAAGAAAAGCCAGAGAGGGAAAACGTTCGAAAAAATTCTAATTGAGAGAGAAAGAAGGGAGAGGAGGGGAAGTTCATTTATTGACCATGCACATCCTCTGTCCTCACACATTGTCATGTTGTTCCTATTTTTCCTGAGTATAAATCTTTTGATCCCTAAGAATGCCACCTTTTCCTTGTTGACAAAGCAGACAGCAAGAATGGAAGAATTTGTTTTTTTAAAAAAGCTAAGTTTTCCCCATCTAGAGAGCAAAGCCAGTGTCTTGCAGAGTAATGCTTAATCTGTTTTCTAAGACAATTGGCAATCATCTTATATTTAAGGTGGCTAGTGACTCTTTCCCCCCAGAAACCTCTCATCATTCAGAAATAGAAGACACCATCAGGTCCCTGATTCCTTCAACAAGGAAGAAAAATAGGAGGCAGAATAGTTGAGAACAATGCCCATGGATTGGGGACTCTGGTTACGATAACCAAGAGACATGCCAGGGTGGTGATCACATGTGTCTGGATAGAAAAAGACCTTCAGAGATGGTCTTATGTTAGACTCAGAAGCCCTTAGAAGTGGTATGATCTGGAGTCTTGCCTTGTCTCCAGGATGAAGATGGAAAGCAGTTGTCAGATGATGACATCCGAGCAGAGGCTGACACCTTCATGTTTGCAGGTGAGGGTCCCAGTGTGGGACTAGAGCAGGGTTTGTAATCTTTCCATCTCAGGAACTCATTAGGTGGACACTGGATCACTCCATTTCTTGCATCCTTCTCTTTCCCCATTCTTCCTGGGGACTTCACTGTCTGGGCATTGTTTGCTCTGCCTGTCTGTCCCTCCCTCAGGACATGACACCACAGCCAGTGGGCTCTCCTGGATCCTGTACAACCTGGCAAAGCATCCAGAATACCAGGAGCGCTGCCGCCAGGAGGTGCAGGAGCTCCTGAGGGACCGTGAGTCTACAGAGATTGAATGGTAAAGGTCATATATATGAACACCTGGGTCATTCTTGCATCCACTCTTCATTCAGCAAACCTTCCCACACCACCTTCCCACTGTAATTTTGTGCCCTACCCAGTCTATACTAAAGACCCAGCCCAGAGATTTGCTTTCCAGGCCCTCTCAGCTTGGTGGGAGAACAGTCTTAGGTCAAGACACTCCCAGAACACATGAGAAAGCGTGGCATTTAGAGTAAGGGAAACATGTAAAGGATGTTCTGGAGAGGACTCTGAATGATGGTCACCAGATGTCTGTGTGAGACTGGGAACAGGGCAGCAGATATGAGGGAGGAGATATGGGAGCAGCAGAAGAGGAAGTCAGCAGGATGGGGAGAGGAGAAATAGAGAAGTAGGAGAAAGGGGGAGGATGAGAGGATAAAAAGGAGGGATAGGCCTGGGGAAGGACAGCAGGAAAGAGAAGTAGGAGAAAGAAGACAAGAAAATGTGAGTGGGAAAGAGAAAAAAGGTTTATGTGAATGGAGGAGAGAGACAGAAGAGCAGACACATGAGATCAGTTTGTTTTTTTCTTTGCATTTCGATTTTGCTGTCTTGCCATAAGGAACATTTATTTTCATGCAAATTTGTTCACTTTTTAAATGGTAGCTGTTTGAATGTTGTTAGCTTCAGAAGATACCTGGCTAAATTTTCTCCAGCACTTTCCTAGTTCTCTGCTTTTCTCGGGATTAGTTTAACACTGTGTGGAAAGGATGCATGGGCAGCACAGGAACTGGCAGCCTCTCTTTTGCTCCTGGTAATTGTTGGGTGGGTTCCTCAGGGACGACCTGGCCCAGCTGCCCTTCCTGACCATGTGCATCAAGGAGAGTATGCGTCTGCATCCCCCGGTCACAGTCATATCCCGCCGCTGCACCCAGGACGTTCCACTCCCGGATGGCCGGGTCATCCCCAAAGGTGCCCATGGGAGAGGGGAGGAGGGTCGTGGGTAGGCAGCTGGTGCATCAGGCAATGGAGTCTTGTCCTGACAGGCCGCTCCTCTCTCACAGGTGTAATCTGTCTCATCAGCATCTTTGGGGTTCATCACAACCCATCTGTGTGGCCGGACCCTGAGGTGCTGCCTCTCTCCCCTCCTATTCTCCTATATCATGGGATAGAGGGTTCTAGGACAGGAAGCGGGAAACCAGACCTCACTCTCCTCAGCTTATGCAGGCCTCTGTGCCTGGCTGTGCTGGGAGGCACTCATCCACCGTGGCTGGTCTCTCCGGCAGGTCTATGACCCCTTCCGCTTTGACCCAGAGAACATCAAGGACAGGTCACCACTGGCATTTATTCCCTTCTCCGCTGGGCCCAGGTGAGGCCAGGGCGCTGGGGGTGATTGGGCAGGGTCTGGGCTTGGTGGTGAGGAAAAGGCAGAGTTGAGATGGTCAAGGTTCCTTGTCTCCTTTCCCAGGTGGGAATCAGGTTAAGCAAAGGTTTGGAGAACGGTCAGGGAAGTTTCAAGAGCCTAAGCTCAGAGCCCCTCCCTTCGCTGGTACTCCTTCGTGCTGAGCTCAGGGCAAGCTTCAGGCTATGCAAATGCTAAAATGGAGTCCCAGTTACTTTAGCGTCCCTGTCGGGGTTGGTTGGACCTGGTGGGATATCCGTGCAGTCAGTCTGCAGCACCGCCTTCCGGCAGGAACTGCATTGGACAGACGTTCGCCATGAACGAGATGAAGGTAGCGCTGGCGCTGACGCTGCTGCGCTTCCGCGTCCTGCCTGACGACGCGGACGCCAAGCCGGGCAGAAAACCTGAGCTGATCCTGCGCTCCGAGGGCGGGCTGTGGCTGCGGGTGGAGCCGCTGAGTGCCCGCGCGCAGTGACCCCGGGAGTGGCCCTGGTGAGAGTGAGGCGGACTGGCTGGTTGCTTTGAGCCAAACACCTCTGACTTCCTCCTGATGACCTCAGACCCTTAAAATGAAGGCTGGACTACTCTCTGAGCAATAGGGCGCCTAGGGGAGGTGACTGAACAGGAGAAGGATTAGGATGAAGGGAAGATTTGAGCTGATTTTTGGACCCTTAGCTATGCCAGGTTTCCACCACCTTCACCTTCATTCTAATCACTTAATACTCCCATCTCCTTTCATCTAGGAACTATTTTTTTCTGTGGGCACTAATTAATATGCATATTAAACTTAACAAGCCAGCATTTGTGTTGTTTTTGAACTGAAGTCTCACTATATTGCCCTGGGTGTTCTCAAACTGCTGGTCTTGAAAGAACCTCTGTCTCAGCCAGCCTTCCATGTCTTGGTGACAACCATATTGGGCTAGTCTTGGCTGTTACATAGTGTGTCTGATCATTGTGGCATTGTACCATTTTTACTAGTGAGGATGATGATAGGTGGTGGGTAGGGGGTATATAATCTTCGGCACTATGTGGCTTTCTTGCTCTATGGCTATAGGATGTCCCTCAGGGCACAGAGACCAAGGACTTAGTGTCTTCCAGGCACAATGCTGGGCTGAATCAGTAACTTTGTGGTAGAGCCCTTGCTCCGCACATGTGAACTCCTGATACCCCACATTAAAAACAAAGTAACCCAGGGGAAAACAGAAACAGACTCCTTTTGGAGGGGAAACAGTTTCTTCATTTGAAATTCAGGTTTTTCTTTGTCTTTAGTTCAAATGCTTTTCTTATAACAATACAGTCATAGAAAAAAAAATACGCAAGATCAGAAACGAATATCTTCTATATTTCTAATGTTACAAATCACTGTTAATACCCTCTCACATAACTTCCAGTTTTTATTTGAAGCAGTATTTATATACATGGATCGTTTTTGTAAAATTATTATACTTCATACAACCTCCTGTTTACGGCTGCTATTTTGTTGTCTTCAAAGCACTTGAAAAGATGCTCAATATAGTCCTCAGAAATGGGGAAATGCAAATGGAAACCATGATGAGATTCACTCTATGCCCACTGGGAATGTTAGAATCTGCAAAGTGGAAGTAGAAGAGTTGATGAGGATGGATGTAGAGTGACTAGGATCCTTGTATTCTGGTTGGAATGCAGAATGGTGCAGTTGCTGTGAAAAACAGCTTGACAGTTCATGGAGAAACAGAGTTCTCATGTGACCTTGCAGCTCTACTAGGCATGTATCCAACACAGTGCAAACAGATCTTGAACACAAATGTGCACAGGAATTGTCACAGCAGCCTGAGAGGAAATATAGAGAGAAACAACTTTAAGGAGGGAGAGGTTATTTGACCTCATGGTTTTAGAGGGATTTCAGTTCATCATGGTAGAGAGGGCTTGGTGGAGGAAGTGTGAATTGGTGGCCATTCATACTGCTGAATATAAGATATGATAAGAATTGGACACAGAGGCCTACATGATGTTCAAACTCTGGGCCCTAGTGACCTAGTTGCACCAATCTGATCCCACCTCCTCAAGGATCTGTAGCCCTAAAGACAGTAGAATCAGTTAGGGACCAAGCTTTCAAATCCCATGACTGTGGGGGACATTTCAGATAGAAACTATATCAAGCCATATTCAAAATTGCCAAAAGATGGAAACAACATAAATCCCCAATTACAGATGAGTGAATGAATAGATAAGGGGTATTCTTATAATGGAATATTCCTTAGCCCTAAAAAGCAGTGCAATAAAGATACATATCTCAGATGAATCTTGACTACATTATAGTATTTGAGAGCAGCCAGACACCAAAGGTTACATATTGCATGATTCCTTTATGTAATGCTTATATTTAGACAAATTTATAGAGACAGAAAGTAAATGAGTGACTGTTCAGGCTGTGGGGAGGTACTTGGAGGTTGGAGAAATGGCTCAGTGGTTAAGAGCACTGGTTGCTCTTACAGAGGACCTGGGTTCAGTTCCCAGCACCCACATGGTGGCTAATAACTGGCCATAACTTCAGTTTTAGGGTATCTGATGCCCTCTTCTGGCCTCCATGGACATTGTGTGGATGGGTGCACTTGGATACATGTGGGCAAAATACTCATATACATAAAAAATAAAAATGAAATAAACCCAAAGAAAAGTTTTTAAAAGTTACTGCTAAAGAGAATAAAATTTCCTCCTGGCTGGTGAACTAAGCAGTGGTGGTGGTTGTACAGCAGTGTGAATGTACCAAATGCTGTTGGATTGCACAACTTTTCTTTCAGTGAAAAGACATCAAATGTGACACATGGTTTTGTGATCTTTAAAACCTTTTTGTAAAGTACTGAAGCCATTCTTTATACTTTTCAAAAATCTTTTAGTCTTTTGTTTTGAATTTTTCATTGTTTCTTTTCTGACCTGATGTCACAATGTAGCCCCTGTTGACCGTGAACTGTATTTTCCTGCTGTGGCTTCCTAGGAAGACTGGCATGCAGCATGGTGTCCAGGTCCTTTTTATTTCAATAGGAATATGTTAGAAAAGAATTGATAGATGCTAGTCTCATTTTCCAAGTAGTCTCTTTGTGAATGTCCCTATGTTATAGTTAAAGCACTAAATATACAGAATAAAGGAAGTGTGTTGAAAACGTCAAGAAAATAACACCGCCGAGGAAACCCATTGGAATGACAGTTAATTTCTCAAAAGAAATGTAAAAGCCAAGAGGGCTTGGAAAGGGCATTTAAAGTTCTGAAAGACCATAGCTGCCAATCAGGACTTACACCCTGCAAAACTATGTGTCATAGTTGAAAGAGAAAGAAACTTTTCAATGTTAAAAGTAAGCAAAAGGAGTTTATAACCACTTAGCCAGCTCTATAGAGGACACTGAAAGGAATTCTTCAGTTTTTTTTAAAATAAATAATTTATTGAGAATTTCATAATGTGTATAAGGTGTTTTGATCAAATCCATGCCCACTCCCTCGGCTCTAGCTCCTCTCATATCTTCCCATCACTTTTTTCTGACAACTGCATGCACGCTTTCTTCTTTGATTTATTTTTATCGGGCTTTTGGCTACTCTAATATTCCACCCTCTGAAGCGGTAACCCTAAAATCTTTTAAGTATTAGATACAAGCTCCCAAATACATTGAACATTTTTAGCCTTTGGAACAGTGTATGTTGGTAAGAGGCCAAAGGACATTTTGACGTTTAGCCATGAAACTGGATACTTTTCTTTGGGGTCTTTTTACCCTAACTGCCTAGCCAATTCCGACCTCCTATTCTTATCACACCATCCTCTGAAGAGGTTACTCAAATTGTCAATAGAGAATAGGGATGCAAACCACTCTGGATTCTTCCATGCTGAACAGGGATGCAGGGTGAGGCAATTGGAGTACCCCTTCAGTGGGTCTCTCTAAAAGACTCCCAAATTGCAAAACTCTTGTCTCTAAGGGAAAAAGATAGTCTTGAATCATGAATAGGAGAAGTGAAGGAGAAGTAAAGGCAAGAATAATTAGCATTACAAGTTCTAGACAGGGAACTAGAAAAATGTCAGAACAGGGCAATTTTCAAATGTTCATATGAGAGTCCATTGGAATTTCTTGACAAGGGCTTCCAAAGGCATCCCTCTATTGGGTTCCTTCTTATTTTTCTTTCGTCTTCCAAGGCTGGACTTTAGAGTGATGGATTTAGGGTTTGCTTTCAGGTGTTTTGATAGCTGCTGGAGTGGTTAGAATCAGTGTCAGTTCCCTCTCAATGGCTTCTAGGTTGGGGGAGAAAACAAATTCATCCATCATTTTAGAACAATAGCTGTTTGTCTCCCTCAGCTACAGGTGGGCACTACAGTATTGGAGACCAAGA